CCACTTTTGAAATCAAGCGCACATCCGTCTAGGGGCAAGTACATCTGGTATACCGCATGATCTATGCACTTAGCGGAGTTGATGAAATATATATATATATATATATATATATATATATATATATATATATATGTTTGTGTGTGTGTGTGTGTGTGCAAGGAAAACCGAACCAATGGCCGGCTGTTTCATATAACATCGACCCCGTGGTCGGCCAAAAGAAATTGTTAACCGATTTTACAATCGGTGATAAAGAGAAAAATTGTTAATCAAACCCGACTCCTCAGTCGGTAAAGATACATATATACTCGGCACGTAGGCCAGAAAAGTAATTATCAAGCCATTCGGCCAAAGAAAAGATTTAGATTTGATCTGGAGGGGAGGACTCTTTTACATTCTCATCCGGCTTTTCACCAACATCAGCCAGATGATCTTCATCATGCTCGAAGTCCTCATTCTCAGCCATGTCTTCATCATCATCAGCTCCGCCCTTTTTTTCCGTCTACAGCCGCTCCTCCTCAAGCTCTTCAGTGGCTTGCTCAAAACAATATTCCCAGACGAAGTAATCATCGTCAAGATGCAAAGCCTTCGAAGCCATTCTCATCCGGATGGCACAGTTGGCTTTGTTCTCCTCGACCAGCTGCCTTTTTTCCTCCTCGACCCTGGCTTAGAACTTCTTCCTCAGCTGCTCCTCCTGGTTGGCGAGTTTTCTTTACAAATTCTCGTTTGGCGGCGGAGGCTGTCTGTTTCCCTAATGAAATCCTCATGCTTGTTGACCTGCAGGTAGGGGTGTTTAAAAAAACCCGACCCGATTGTCTCGTCCCGATTTCCCGATGACCCGCAAAAAACCCGATGGGAAATTGACAAATTTTTCTGTTTTTTTCGAGTCGGGTACCCGTCCCGCTAAAATAGCATTTTCGTGGGCCGAGACATGGGACAAACTTTGCTACTATTGGGTACCCGGATACCCGTTTAAAAAATAAAAAAAGGAAATTTGGAGAATTCAACTTTCCCGGATAGTATACCCATTACCCACCCTATCTTCTTTTCTTATCCTCATTCTCTTCCCCTTCTTACTCTCTTTCTCTCTCCTTCTCATTTCTAACCTTCTCACGCTCTCCTAGTCTCCTCTCCTCTTTCTCGTTCCTCTTTCTCTCCTCTCCTCCCTTCTTTCTCTTTCCTCTGTTCTTCTCACGCCTCTTTCTTTCTCATGGTCAAAACGAAGGTTGTAGTTTTAAAATTCGCAAAATTTGGTCAAAACGAAGGTTTTAATGGTCAAATTTGACCATGAAAACTCTAGATCTCGAATTTGACCGTTTTAAACCAAATTTGAGGAGAAATTCAAGGCCATTTTCGGTTTAAAGGGTATGCTTTCTTGTTTTTATTTTCTTTTATTTTTTTAAATATTGAATTTTTAATAAATCCATTTATATGATATGATTTCTGGTAATTTTCATGCTAGTTTTGGTAAATTTGATTATTTTTGGTTAAATTCTGGTGGTGGTGGTTTCGGTTTGGTGTGGGTGGGGTTTGGTTGGGTTGGTTTCGATTATTGGTTGTGGGTTAGGGCTATCGGTGGTGTTGGGTTGTCGGTTCGTTATGGTTTTGGGGTTTCGGTGGTGGATCTGGGTAAACTCGAGTACAAACTTACGAGTAAAAAAATAAGCTACTCGTATCTGTAATTTGGCAGGTTAATTTGATAGCATTATCTAGTATTATAAAAAAAAATTACGTAGTATTATCTAGTATTATTGATCTACTAATTTCAATCCGGGTACCCGTGTCCCGTCCCGCATAATTCGGGTACCCGAATTATTCGGGACGGGACACGGGCCGACTTATCAACTACTCAAAGATCCGGGTACCCGGATTTTCAGGTACCTAGACCTGAACACCCCTACCGGTAGGTTGACCTCCGCCTAAGAATGCAGGATATCATGAGTCAGTGCTTAATTTTTACATATGTCTAACATGGCTTGATCTAAAGCAGAGGCGACCCTTTCTTTGGCACTCTTTACCTCTTTCTATTTGTCTGAGAATGGCTTCTTGAGCCCATTCACACGTAGCATGGCCTGCATCCGGCAAAGAAGATCATCTATACAGACGACATGAGAGGGGTTGAAATATTTTCTAACTTAAAAACAGGTTACCTCAGCTAGCAGCGCCAAGATGGCATCAAAGTTGAGGGTGCCAACCCCCCTCACAGAATCCCACTCCTCAGTAGAGACGGCCTTCAGCATGTTCTTAGCGAACTACTGTATATCCGGCCTTTGAGTAGCATCTGCACATTCAACACTTGGTGAGAAGTTGACATAAGCTCGGCCTATAGACCGGGTGTCTTCAGAGCTGTTGGGCTGCTGCTGATAAGACTTCACCCTAGTAGGGTAAGGTAATGGGTTGAAGGCATTGATACCTGGGAGCTCAACCTTCAAGTCCTTGGGACGCCTGTCTTTGCGTCCGCCTTCGACAGGCTCGCCTGTTGCTGCTGAGCCAACAGTAGCGGCGAGTGGCTTGCCACTCTTTGACGCCCGAGGGGCGTCTGGTTTTTTAAGGGCTCCAAGAGAAGCAAGTGACTTGCCGGCAGTGGAGGGGTGAGAATCATCCCCAGTCTTGGCAGCAGATGGATTATTCTACGCCACAGATTTCCTCGATTTAGAGGGCATCTGATCCTCCTCTGTAAATAGACGCTTCAGTGGCTTGTCGCCAAAGGCATGCGGCCTCGTTGATCCCTCCTGAAAATCAAGATAAGCTGTCAAATTCAAGACAATAAGGTTCGCCTGACTGTGACAATTGTAGAATACTTACATGTTCTAGCTGATCTTTTTTGAAGATCTGGTTTTTCTGTCGGATCATTTAGCGATAGGCGGTAGCAGAGCTTGCGGGTTTCTTACTCGGAGATAGCTACGACATTGATTCTTCTGCAAAAAAGGCCGGATGAGCGTCAGTAAGAAATAACAAAAGGAATTTTATATATATATATATATATATATATATATATATATATATATATATATATATATATATATATATATATATATATATATATATATATATATATATAGGCGGTATCATCCGGCCAGCTACCTTTTGTTTCTTCTGTGCTAAGACCACAGGCAGCTAAATAAAAGGGGTCCCTAAGCCACTCGAACCTATGGATGTAACTATGGGGAATTATCTCCCTTTCATTCCCTCCCTCTAAGGTTTTGGTGGAAACCTTGAATAAGCCAGACATGGGTGAAATAGGGGGTGAATTCTTTTTGAGCAGAGGAAGAATCTTCCCCTTGTCCTCTTTCAGGAGAGGCGGCTTCCTCCTCAGAGACTCTAAGCTTTCTATCTCCTCGTGAGATACAGGCAACTCAGTTCTATCTTCGGAACCGCCTGAAACAACATTCGACTGGGATAATCCTTGTTCAGAGCCGGATGCACTGTCATCAGCCCCATCATCTGACTCGTTCAGAATGGAGTCATTCAGCGTGCTTGGAGTGTCAGGTGGGTGATCAAAAACCTCATCTCTTGGCACCCTAATAGCGTCGCCACCTTCCTCATCATCTATGGGGCCCTGGGCCGTCTTTTTAGATCTGACCATAGTGTCCTGCACAGACACAGAGACGGTCGGATTCGGGGATATTTGAAGAGGGGAGTCCAAGTGGGTGCAGGCGGCACTCCTAGTCTTAGATTTAGCCGTCCTTGGTGACCGGCTGATAGCTACCCAAGGTCGTGTCGTGTGTGTTTGTGAAACCATTTTGAAAAACAAGGAATAACAAACACATATGGAAAATTAAAGAACAAGAAAGAGATGGAGCAGGCGGTTACCTTGTATTGAAGGTACTGAAGGAACCTCTTGGGATGTCTGTAATGCAGGCGGATCGAACTCAAGCGGCAATAAACAAATTCTCACAAAAGTCAAAGATTCTATGTCTGAAAATTTCTCGTGAATGTGCGAAAATGAGGGGATAAAAACAAATATATAAAGGGGTAAAAATCTCAGGGGCAACCCTGACATTTACTCTAGAAGGTAAACAGTAAAAATTATGTTCACCCATGCATGTGTGACACTTGTCACAGGCGTCACGTGGCACGCCACATCACCCCTGTGAGGGGCAAATGATTTGGGTATTTTTTACCCCGCCACGTGGACCAACCAGGGCTAGACACGTGGCAGGTAGATACTCCATATGGAATTGGCGACCTTCAAGGCCCAATCCCCAAGATAGCCCAAAAACGGCGTAACTCATCAGTCCTATGTTTTCGCAACCTAGGACATAGGCACAAATTCCAATGACCCTATAAATAAGGAGATTTACCCCACTTTGGGAAAAACATTCAATGATTGAAAACAGTGAATTCTCTTGAAAATAGAGAAAAACATCTGATCTCGGAATCCGAGAAGATCTCACTTTACTTTCCGCACCTTTTTACATTTTCCGTACACGTTCTAACTTGATCGTCGGAGGCGGAACTCCACCCAACTGGAGTCTCCGTTGTTTTGCAGGTATAGGCGCCCGTAGTCCAGACTTAGTGACGTAACTCTCCCGAGGGACACAGAAAATTCCGAAACATATAACACTATTGATAATTTACCTTATCGGATTAAATTGTCCTAATCAAAATGAGCCTTCTTCAAAAACATCAATATGTGCTCCAAAACTTCATGTTTTTTTTTGAAAGAGAATGAAAACTTCATGTTTGAATCCAAAAGGTTTGAGTGTAAAGAGAATCACACTCACATAATTAAATTAGTTAAGTGTACGTAATAACTTTTCATATTTTTCAAATTAGGCAGGTAGTTAAGGAAAATACCGATTTTAGTCTTTTGGATTACTAAGTTTCTACTTTTGAGCTTGTGTGGAACAAACCTCCACGTGTCTTCTCTTTAGAGTGTTCTTCACTATCTTCTGGATGACAACTTCAGTTGACCCCACTTCTTCTCCAATCACAGAGGAGATTCTTACGAATCTTCCAGTTTTTTTTTTTTTTTTTTTTCTCTCTCCTCAAAATTTCATTTCTAGGTTGCCAAAAAAACCATAAAACTCAAGTAAAGAACAAATTTTTTTTCAATATTTTCTAACAAATTTTTTTTGAAAAAAAAAAAAAACCAGAAAGATATGAAAGCATTAAATTATGGGTTTGAGCTGGTTGATCTTCAAACTTCATGGCAATCAGTAAATCAAACCCAGAAATCAACTTTTTCTTACTTAAACAATGCTAACTTTCTATCCCCTGTCTCTTCGGCATTTCGTCGAACAGGTGGTGGGCGTAAAGGAATTGCTCCGTCTAGATCCGCCGTATCATCCAGCCGGTCGCCGGAGATCCGACGGCCGGCAGACAGGCTGTTTCCCGGAAATTTGTTAACCCCAAATTCCCTTGTTCTAACTCCAACAACAACAAATTCTAATTTTAGTAATCATAGAGTGGAAGAATCAGCTTCAGAGCTGGAGTTGTTTCTTGAATTGGTTCCTTTTAGGATGAGAAACTTCTTGTCTTGTCATGATGAGATTGGGGATTTGATTGAAATTGTTCTTGATTTTGGAAGGAAACCTTTGGCGCGGTTTCCTTCTGGTGATTGGGTCATTTCTCAGGATCCTGTCAAGCTCGAGGATTTGCAGCATGCTATTTCTAAGGTAGTAGTTTGATTGAATTTTATGCATATAGTTTTGTAGTTGGTTAATTTCCAATTCTGTAAAATGTGATTGTCTTATTGGTTAGCATGAAGTGAGTGTTTGATCTGTTTGTTGATAAAATGATGAAAGAAGAGCTTCTTCCAAATGATCTTTACATGAGGTGCGACTCATCCGAACAAATCGGTTGAAGTTAAATGTTAGATTATTAAGGTATTCTACTCGTATATTGAACTTGAAGAAGGAATTTTATGGAATATGATTCCACCAAGGATGTATGGTTATGTTCTATTAATGTGTTTGAAACTTTGCTGTTATTGGTATGTCTTTCTGTGATAACAGCTAGATTTTAAAGCTTTTAATTTCTCAGGGTGTTTGGTGTGGTGGAAAGTGGTGGAATTTAGATTGTTTTTTATATGAATTAGCTGCATTGTTCAGGTGGGTGATTTTTCGGATGACAATCGATCAGGAATTGATCGTTCACTGCATCGTATAAGTGCCATTCGGAATCGTAAGATGCAAATAATTGGGCTTACTTGTCGGGTGGGTAGAGCGGTTTCTGGGAGTGCAGAGATCATCCATGATTTGATTGAGGGGGGAGGATCTATTTTGGTTATAGGACCGCCTGGAGTTGGCAAAACCACCTTGATCAGGTAGATCCTTTAAAATGTTTCTATGTTTAGTAGCTTGTTATCAAAATTACCCATTGTTCAATACAAGCATCATTTTTTTGACATAAAAGCTCAGAAACTTTAAAGGCTTTCTCTGCTTTGCTTTTCTTGGGTGGTCAGTATTATACCTTCCTGCTATGTGTAGTCATGTGAATGCATTTTCTATGCCTAAATAAAGTGAGGAAAAGGAAAATGTAAAATTTACTTATTTGCAAATAAAATGGTTGACTGCATTATAGTCATCAAATTACTTCCTGTAAAAAAATAAACCCAGAAGAAATGAAAATTAAGTTGATTTTCTTCCAGAGAAATTGCAAGAATGCTAGCAGATGAGCACAATAAACGAGTGGTAATTGTGGACACATCGAATGAAATTGGAGGTGATGGTGATGTTCCACATTCAGGTATTGGTCGTGCAAGGAGGATGCAAGTTCCTAATGTCGATATGCAGCATAACGTGAGTATTACACATTGCTTCACTGTAAAGTTAATAAACAAGAGTTTATCGATGTAACTTTTAATCTTAGTCTCTAATTTCCTCTCTTAATAAAATCACGTAGGTGATGATTGAGGCTGTTGAAAATCACATGCCTGAGACAATAATAATTGACGAAATCGGAACAGAGCTTGAAGCTTTGGCTGCCAGTACCATTGCTCAAAGGGGAGTTCAACTTGTTGGGACTGCTCACGGCATGACCATAGATAATATAATGAAAAATCCTTCTCTTCAGCTGCTGGTTGGTGGTATAGAGGTGCATCACTAAAATTCTTAACCCTATTGCTTTGCATTTCATGGTCGTAAATTTTAATGAACAATAACTGATGTTTGGTTGCTTTTGAATTTGGTAGAGTGTTACCTTGGGTGATGAAGAAGCAAGGCGAAGAAAAGTGCAGAAGACAGTTCTTGAGAGAAAGGGACCTCCCACATTTACATGTGCTGTTGAAATGATTTCTAGAACTGAATGTCGTGTCCATCACAGATTAGATGCAACAGTCGATGCTATACTTGCTGGTATCATATATAAATTTATTAAAATAGGTTAACATCAAAGTCTTTGCTTCAGGAGTTGAGGTGCTTACCTATGTTTATTCTTGATGTAACAGGAAAATCCCCTCTATTTGAAATCCGTCACATGGAACCTGAGGTGAAAAGCTCTGATAATTTGGCCAAGGTTCCTGAAAAGCAGCAGCAAGAAGAATCTGAGTTCATTAAGCCTGCTAAGAGAAGCGCTGAAATAGAGTCTGAAAATGAAGACATGGCTGTACCTCATCTTTCCAAGAGGAGAAACACCAAAAGTCCAAGAAAGAACAGCTTACCGATTTTTGTGTACACTTATAAGGTAAGATGAATGGAATATTTATATGCCAATCTGCTTTGCACTATGGATTCCTTTGGCAAACTGAACAAATGCATTAGTATTTCAGTGGGATTATCATTCAGGAAAGGAAATGAGAATATCCTGTTCCACAACATGCTTTTTGTTCATGCAAATTTATTTACATTAGCTACCAAAGAATTGATCAACATGTCACAAATAATGTTTGATGGACAAATCTGGCAAAATTTAAGATAGCAATTGAAGTAAATGTGGGTTCTGAGTCTTTTGACCATAATCATGATATCTATCTGAGTATGATGGCGAAGATGCCATTATTGCCTGTATATTTTAGAGGGAAAATATGTTAAGTCACCCTACTTGCATCAATTTATGTGCTTTAGATATTGGAAGCTGATTTACTACAAGTAGCAGAAGTAATGGGGCTTGAGGAGGTAATTGATGCTACAGATGATATTGGAATAGCGCATGCAATCTTAGCCTCTAGTTCAGAGATGAAGCAAAATCCATGGATCCGCGGTGTTGCTAAATTTCACCAAGTTCCTATCTTTGTTATCAAGGTAATTTTCTGATTTGACCAATAAATATCTTAAAAGTTGTGCTACAACAATTATCTCTTAACTTCTCATCATGACACTGCAGTCAAATACCATGGCACAAATGGTAAAGGCAATTCGCATGATTCTTGGGATGGAAGCTTTTGGCCCAATGTCAAAGCTTCCTTCAAAAGATGTGCTTGACATTGAAATCGAAGATGATGCACCTGAACGGAAACCTTCGTTAGAAGAGCTTGATGCTTTAGAGGTAACGACATTCCATTCAAATTCATTTCTCAATTGTTAGCTGGTGATGAATGTGGACTTCAACTTGATAGTGCAACAAATGAGTCTCGGAGGAGGAGGATGTGCCGATGTGGTAGTTTTGTACTTTGGCAGTACTAGTATGTTCAAGAATTCAATCTTTCCAGAAAATAGTTTTCAGTATCTTCACCTATCAGTATCAGGACAAAGTAATAGTACTGGGATATGCTGAAAGTCATGAAACCCCCTTGTTATAGACCAATTATTACTCAAATGACTTCTGTTTTGATTGAACTTCCTACCAAAGTAGGTTTTTTTAACCTTTTGATTGAATCGATTCGAGGATGCTTTAAGTAGTTGGGTCATTTCATTTGCATATTTCATCAATGTTTTTGCCCCGGTATATGCATGACTGTGGCATTTAATGCTTCGAGTTCTAGGCATTTCTAATCGACTTTACTAACCTTTGATTTTGTCAATAGGAAGTTCGACTTGCGATTGAATATATTGTGATTCCGGGTGGGGAGGCAGTAGAACTTCTTCCTCGGCGTTCAGATATAATTGCCCGGCAACTTAAGCTTGTGGAAAGTTACCAGCTGGCTGCAGAGAACTCAGGTACAGAACAGAACCCTCGATTACAAATTCTTCCGATTAAATCAAAGAAGACAACTTCCTCAAAACATGCCAAACATGGTTCATCAATTGATGATGAAATAACCTCTGTATCACTAAAGGGTGGCAAAGTAGGTACCCCAGTTGCGCGGTTGCCCCTCCTGCCTGAATAGAAAATATTTACACTCCTGTAGGACAATACCTGTATTATTATGTATCCTGTACAGTGTAAATATGAATAATCACTCTTGTATCTTTCCATATTAGTTCATTATCAGTAAAATTGTAATTATTTTATCCATAAACTATTGTTGTGAATGTGTATACTGTCTTGTCAAGAAGGACCAGAACCACCCGCAGAAACTTGTGATCCTTGCACCACCAATCGCCTGTTCCCTGCATTTAATATATTTCACACAGCAGTTTCTTTTCATCGCGCATGTATCTTCAGACATGGCACTATCAAGCATTAATCTGTAAATCTGTTGTACTTCCATTGAGAACTTTTAAGGACAGGCCGACAGGGAATGGGCAAAATAACCACTCTGATAATCTTAATTGATTGATCTATCACTATTACGATTGCTATATCAGTAGGCTACATGATTTTGAGGAATTGAGGCTCCATTAAACTACATATTGGTTGTCGGGGACTCGGGGTAACATTTGGGTTAGCTGGTGACCAAGTTCAAATAATATACGATGTACATCAATAAAAGAAAATTAAGAGACAGTCCTTTGTAATAACGAAGTACTCGTATATGTTTTAAAATTTTTTTGGAGGCTAAAGGGGTGCAAATTTTCCTTAACCTCTTCAAAATCTTTTCATATTGCATGATCATCCCCGGGTCTTAAAAATAATGCGCCCGTTGTGGTTCTATACTTCGTAATGCAGTTTAATATCCCCTTCATATCTAGCTAATTAAGTGCAACATTTACTTAAAAAGGTCATATTCGAATAAATATATCACTTATTTTAGAGTGATTTCCATAAAAAAATGCTAATAAAGACCATAATTCCGTAAAATGCGTCCTATTTTTACCAAATTCCCAGCATTTGTAATTATGAAATAAATTTTTTTTGCTCAATTCAAAACAAAACCGCTAATTGAATTAGCAGTTTATGTAAACCGCTAACTGAATTAGCAGATTTGTATAACATAGGAACAAGATGATAGGAGGATTTAGGTGGAAGACTTTAACCGCTAATTGAATTAATGGTTTTATTCTTTTCAAGTTAAAAAAAAAAAACGACTTATTTAGCTGATATGGACGGTATGTAGGGAATTTTGTGAAAATATGGCGTAATTGTGGAATTGTTATCATTTTAAGCATTATCTACGGAAATTGCTCCGCTTCTTTATATAGAAATATCTCTCTATATTTTATTTTTCTTTCCTCCCACTAACCCTACTTTATTTTTTTTAATCATTTCTCTCTCTTTCATGGTCCCTACACATACTCTCATCATTATTTGTTTTAATAATAAAGTATTCTCCAACTCATCTTTTATCTATATACAAAGTATTTAATTCTCAACTTCATCCACTCACACATTAAAATACTCCATTTATTTCATTTGGATAAAACTTTGTACACAACCTAATAATGCACTTAAATAGATAGGAATGGAGTATGAAGTAAGCAACATTCACATAAGACGTACAAATGATACACTAGATTTGATCTGATATAAACTACACTATAGTGTATAGAACACCGCCGTAATTTAAGCGCCGCATTTATGACTTTGGTATATAGGTTCCGCCTAACCAAACGTTTCCTTTCCTTCCACAAACCCACTACTTCTTAAATAAGATATATGCTATCTTCTTATCAACAAAATCCATTTTCTTCTTACTTTGCAGTTTCGGTGTCAAAATACTAGGACCGTGACACTAAGCCTGGTACTCTCCCAAAGGCTCATTCGGTATATTGTGTACAAGGCACACAAGGCTTTTAGAGTTGAAAACTTGTCACCTGTAAAGTCTAACCTTAGAGAGGAGAAATAATAAACATCCCTAGCAGTTTGAAAGTAGAATAGGGCGTGCATAAGGATTTACCACAATCTTACATTGATACTAGACACTCTTACATTAAATAAAAACACAAAAATCGTAAACATAATTGATTTCATACTCTAAATCCAACTTGACAAATTAGGGTGAAAGAGATAATAAATGACTTGTTAATTACTGATCATTATGGTGTTTCAAGAATGTTACTTGTTTCCGAAATTTGTTGATATTAAAGAAGTGAATCTATCCATATTTATAAGTGATTCAAATTAAATCAACATGGAACAGATTATATAAAAGTTATTGATAAATTAACAAATTACGTGAAATTACGTACATATATATTATATTGGGAAATCCTACATGGTCATATATCTAGTGGCACTAAACTTCTGCAAAAGCAAAACTCTATTTAATGCACTAATATAACTTAAATCGGGCTAAGTTCAGTATTATGGCTAACTTATTAACTCTAAAATGTGATACTGCTAACCTACCCTCTAATTAATTCGTTCCCTCCTATTTCATCAAACGGTGACTTAAAACCCTTCCATCAGCCATATGAATATCGGGGCATTGATGATTAGAAATGACTGTTCATCTTCTCTGAATAATTTCTTAGTCTAGATGTTACCAGGCTTGCTGGGTTTGAATATTTTTTATAATTGGAGAATAGAGTTTAGTTTTGGGAATTTCTACGAAATTGGGGGTTTGTGATTAAAAATTGATTTGCTACACATCTTTGAGGTAATATTTTAAAGCTTTTTACATTAAATAATGGATTTTGTTGATATACTCTATTTTTGTACATGCTAAACTAGAAGTATAATTCTTATTATTGATTATGCTTTTAATAGGTCTAAGGAATTAGTTGTAGATATACTTATATATTTCAATTTATGTATGTTTAGTTTGATTGGTGCAGAATGGATTCAATTTTGGTTAGAGGATGTGACTTTTCCTTAACCCCTTCAAAATCTTTCCATATTAAAAATGCGTCATTGTAGTTATATAATTCATAGTATAGTTTAAAACTAATTGATTGTTGGTGCAGTGGTGATTGGGACTGCATTTGGAGAACTGCGTGTTCGATTCCCCGCAACAACAATTGGGAGGGGATTGGAACCTAACCACCCAAAACTGAGCCCCAAATCCGGATTAACCTAAAGGGTGAATTGGGTGGAACACCAAAAAAAATAGTATAGTTTACAAAAAATCGTATTTGGATAAGTGTATCACTTTCTTATAATGAAATATCTCTCAATATTTTATTATTTCTCTTTCCTCCCACTAACCCCAGTTGTTATTTCTTTTATCATTTCTTAAGAATTTATAACTAATACTAAAGTAGCAACCGTTAACATCATTCTATTTTAAAATTAGACACATGTCATGTTGTGATGAAAAATTTTCCCTCCAAAACTATAAATGATATCATCATTTTGTGATTTTATTTTATTTTATTAAAATTTTGGTCAGCTACATTATTATTACTATAAAAAAGGTATATTCTCTCTAACAATAATAATTCAATTTTTCTTCCTCAAGTACCCTTTTCATCATTCAATTTTTCTATGAGCTCTATTTTTTTTATAAAAAAAATAAATAAATAAATAATTGATGTTTTATTTGTTTTGGGAATATTTTTATTTTTAGTTTTGGTATGAAAAAATAAACAAATTTCGAAAATTTTACAAGTATTTGATCAAATCGTGCTATCGCACGAAATTAATCTAGTATACTAATAAAGTATTCTCCCACTCATCTCTACATACTTCATATTCAATCCCCAACTTCACCCACTCACATATTAAACTATTCACTCGATTTCATTTGTATGAAACTTTGTACACAACTTTGAAATGCACTTAAATAGATACGGAGGGAGTACGAAATAAGCAATATTTACCACCACAACCCAAGACGTGCAAATGATACACTAGATTTGATCTGATATAAACCACAGTACACTAAAAAGTATAGAACACCATAGTAAGTGCATTTATGACTTTGGTATTCACTATTCAAGTTCGCCTAATTAAATGGTTCCTTTCCTTCCACAAACCCACCACTTATTACAAAAAAGGCATTTGCTATCCGCTTATCAGATCAACAGGGTCTATTTTCTTCTTATTTCACAGATCCGGTGTCAAAACACTCTAACCGTGACTCTAAGCCTGGTAGTCCCCAAAGCTTCATACAGTATATATATCGAAGTTGCACACCGTTAAAAATTATTGAAAATAACCTATGTAAACACAATTTAAGGGAATTCTACCAGCATTAAACACCATTTAAGGTCAAATTTTCAGCTTTCCTACAAATTTAATGACTAAACATCAAGTTACAATTGGGAATATCACATGTTTTGTAAGAAAACCACTATGGCACTATGCCAAATGCCACCAATCTCGTACTAAGAAAATTACCAAACCAGAAAATGTATAGAATGATCAAATACATCCACTATAACATTCATTTTCCTAGCTAAGATTCACTGTGTTTCTTGAAGAAATCAATGAGAAGATCATAAACGATTTCCTTAGCATTCATAGCCAGGACATAATCAGCATGCGCGTAGTCTTCAATAAACTGAAGGAACAGCTTGTCTTTTTCATGATTTTTGAGTTTATCCAGCAGGAACTTAACATCGTCAACATCAGCAAGCTCGTCCCTTCCTCCGTGAGCTATGAACATTGGGAGGTTGTTGGAAATGTTTGTCAGGTCATATTCCGGAGGCTTAGTCTGCCCGTAGTGTTCCATGTTCTTACCTGGGTCTAGATAGTCATATCTTGCTATTGTTCCGTCCCTTGCCACTGTTAGCATATTCATAGACAAGGATTACTATCTTATCCTAGATTGATCGACAAAGCTCTGAGATTACAGGTCAAATCAGTATAAACTCGTCTGAAACTCAAGTTAAGTTCAAGTTTTGTGTCAACTGTCAAGCAAACTAGCCTAAGAACAACTTCAGCTTGGTCATATTACCCTGTCGTATAATGAATGCAATAAAGTTTATCAATAAGCACATACTCTGGGAAAAATGGATCATGTTTTTGGTGGCTGTCGGCTGAGGTTCATGCTGCAGGAATGTAGAAACCGTTGATGTGCTCAGGCAACAGTTTACACCTACATCATCCAAAATTTGTGTTAGTGCTTATCATGCTTTGAAAACCGATTAGCTCATGAATAAATTGCATGCTTAATACCAGTAAAAGACGTCAAAAAGTCAGTGCAGTCAATTCCCTGCTTCCTGCATATATCTGTTAGAAGCTTCTTTACTGCCTGTCTGCTCAATCAGAAGCAGAATAGAAAATACTTCAATAATATTTAAAACACGAGGATGATTAGACGATGTGTGTTAAATTATCCTACACAATGAAGTCATGAGGAGGTTTACAAAGTTACAGAATATGTCGATATTTCTAGTTGCTACATGCTAGCTAACATAACACCTAACAATATGGAATGTAATTCAGAGTGCCAAAAATAGGGAATTGAGAAAATTCAGAGCTAATCTGAAGCTCAGTACAGCAGAGAAGAAATGGCATTCTCACCCACGTGGTACGAATTCATGTAGTCCAGACCAGTACATTAACTGTGGCCAAGGAAAAATAATTATCAGTAAAGTATTGGTATATAACTGAGACAAAAGGAAAAGTAAAGGATATATGTCTTCACTTCAGTAACGAAGTTTTCAGCAGCATCTTTAGCAAGTGGGGAAGTCATTCGACTTAGATAAGCAATTGGACATAGCAAGCCGGCTGATTTCACCATGTTCAGCAACTTCTGCTGGGAAAAGGCAGTCAGGGCTATCAATGTTCCCTGCAACCACACTCAAACTACTTAAGTACTCGTAATACTCCTGAGAGCTCTAAGGAAACTGGGAAGAAGGAATTGCGATCAACAGTAGAGCAGTACAATTCAGTATTTTTACCTGTGAATGCCCAACATAATGCAGCTTCTGTTTACCAGAATGATCATATACATATTGGACCATTGCTGGAAGATCATATGCCATCAGCTCATCCCATGACCAATCCCAATATGCCTACATAAGGTTTCTACGATTTCTACCATTAAAAAATTAGAGCCAGGGGAGGAGGGTTGAATGTTAACCATACATATATGAGACGGAAAGATTGTATATTTTTGTCAATAGGAAGAAGAGATTACCGAGTCACTAGAGCTTAATGTCATATGACCGAGGCTATATTTGGTGCCACGAGAGTTTGCAACCCAAACATCAAAATCATTATCTGCTAAAATGAATGCTAAGGATTGGTCTGGAGGGTTAAGTAGCCATGTGATTCCATCCTAAATCCAAATGATAAAGTTATTTCTGAAAGTAATAAATAAGGCCACAGAAAGAACAAAAGCAGAACATAAACCCTGCTGTTAAAGAAGTCTGAGCAGGCGAAAATGCATGTGGTCTTTTCACTAACCATATTTTAGTGAAAAGACTACAAGCATACTGGGATATGTAATTATAATTGTAAACCATATTCAAACTTCTGTTGAACGCATTAGTTCACTAACCACAGAAAATTCAAGCTAACTAATGCAATCAACAAACACAATCACAAGAATGGCAGGAGGAATTGAATGCAGAAGATATTGAATGCAGAAGAGATAGCTGCCCCCTCTATCCAAAATAAGTCGTCACATTATCCCAAACTTTTTTTATTTAGGATATTTCATGAGAAAATTCATCATAATGGTTGATTTATTTGTTTAAGTAGTGTTGGCATACTGGGATATGTAATTATAAACCATCATATTGAGAAATGTGATATTTTCCGGATTTTTGAAAATAATTTGAGTATTAACATCAGACATGGGGCTTATTTCACTAACCATCAAAACTCCATGCTGCAAAAGCACTGGTGGCCTGTTGCCTCTAGTTGTGTAATTAGTCAAGCCGGTTGGAATTCTTTGCAAGCTGAGAATATAACCATCTTTTGTTGTCACCTAAATCACTCCAACAACATTATTAATGATCTAAGATCAATGAAAAGCATAAAGGAAAAAAGAAAACAGTTTAATCCACGAACAAAGAGTATGCATATTAACTGTGTGCTCCTCGCAGATATAGCCCCGTGACTCCACCAGCAATTTACAGATGCCCTCATCAGAAGATGGTGCAAACGCTAGAAGTCGACCATGAGTCTCGTTGGAAATTAGCCTTGTTCTAACTCCGATTATTTGTTGAAAGAAGAAGAATACTAAGGCTAGTGAGCTTAGAATGCCAGTCATTTTATTAAAATGTAATGAACATTACCATTAATTTCGTTCACTTCTGAAAGAACCAACATATATTCTTGTATTTCTGCTGGTAAGAAAGATAAAAACTGTATATCAAGAGAATCCAGCATGTGATACATAAAACAATAAAGACTTTTGTCTGTAAGTGAAATGGTGGACCAAGTTTCTTAACCAAATAAAAGCACACAGTATAAGAGAAGTTTGGACTTCACTCCCGCCACTTTATTCTCTTACTGATACATGTTTCACATAAAGTTTGCTGATAAATAATGAAAAATACAATTATACTAACTCCAGAAAGTGTTGCCCAACACCAACACAAACTTGAACAGAAGACGGCTGAAATTTAGGTGTCGAACGTTCTTCATCTGAAACCCGGAAAAAATAATAGGAAAATGGTTTGACAGAAAAGTTACCTGTATCATGTCCTATTTTACCTGACTAAGCTACCATTTCAAGGGCTTAGTCCATTTTTGTACAGTGAACACCCCAACCTACTAGACATCTACATGAATAATTAACCTAACAATCATGACCGATATCCTCGTCACAACATCCTTCAAGAGAGAGGTTCCAAAATCAATGAAAAAATGAATAATTGATTTCATAATGTTACAAAACCTTTGAACTCACTTGTGAAGATGACTTGACTTTACTAGAGTATTTATGAAAAGTTACTACTAGTAAATGGAAAAACTCCCAAAAAATCTCAACACACACGCAACTTAAAGGCCAAAATGGGGCTGCGGGAATAAAAAAACAAGATGAAGATGTGGAAACAAAGAGCAAAGATAGGTACAAAAATATTGATATATGCATTATTTGTTAATGAGATTACAAATTTTGTATAGGCAACATGAACTCCCATGTAATTGATACCTACGTTTACGTACAATTCTTAGCATGAGTTTGGTACTTCTATACTAGGAGCTGCTCTGTCTTTTGATTCTTTTTGTGATGCTTCCGAACTTTTGACTGAACTTTTGGATGGTTTGTTTCTAAGTAATGGTATTCTAATGGACTGGAGATTTGGCTTTTTTAAGAAATGCAATTTCCATCTTCTGGGTTTGACATGTCCTAGCATCTTCATCTGTTCCCTCCGGAATTTCCTAGTTGTGTACCATCTCCCACCTCTCCATCCCAAGGCATAACTGCATCAACAAAAGAATCATAAGAAACCTGCAATAGATAATAAGAAAAGCTAATTTACACTAATAATTTGACTATAAACATACAAAAATGACGGTTGAAATATACAAAATATAAATATCTACACATGAATTGATGTGGGAGAGATGAGGAAGCAGTAAGCATACTGCAGGTTGGAGCTTCTAAAGGGACTAACAAAATACTTAAATGATAAATAAATAAAAATTAAAAAAATAATAAATAAAAACCTCAACCGTAAAATCTTTAGCATTATTGACTTTTTGAAGGGAAATATCAAAGTAATTCTAATTGGATAGACCTACAAGGCTCAAAAGCCACACATCTCCTTAAAGAGGCTAGCGTACAAATTAAAAGACAATTGAGGGCCTAGTTGAATATCATCACTTGTCTCTCGACCTGTCCCCACTCTTTCCCCCCAGGTATGCTCCAACCTCACATATGATATATTAAAGCAGCCTTGAGCATATCATAAGCAGTTAGGCCAGCAATGCAGACAGCAGTCATTGCTACTATCTCACCTGAGTCTTTCCTTTCACAGAGGCTTCCCCATGGATATCAACACAGTAATCACGGAATGACAGGATAATGTTATGGCCTAAACATCTATGATATGTGCAACGCTACTCCAAAAAATATATGTGAGGCTGGAGCTTATAACTGGAGGGAAGCGTGGGGACTGGTCCAGGGAGATTCTACTAGACAGTTATATTATACTGAATAGACGTTGATAGGTGCTTATATTGTTGCAATTTTCAAATATACTTTGGGTTCTGGTGATCTCATCATTGAATATAAGTAGACGGAACAGTTGCTGAATCATATTTCTGTTCATAGTCCCACATTTCAGCTTGTCTATTCATAGATTTAAAATTTTGTCATTAAAGCATCTACATGTTATTCTGCTTTTCATGTATATGTGATGGAGATCTTGAGAGCATGTACGCAATTTGTGGCAGTGATAATAAATACGCAGTGGTAAGGAAGTAGGTTTCATCCAGATTGTTTATATGCAGCTTAAAGAAGCCATAATTCACAGCTTCAAACACCGAGAACTTAGAAGGCAAGTGCAATATAGTAGAATATCCTAAAAGATATTTGATTTGAGGGAATTGGGGAATAATTAGGAGATAAGAACAATATTTCAGTCAAGGACTACAGCTTAAAGATGTATGAATGGTGTTTTAATTTCTTAACCACTGGAGACTAGAAATGTCCTAATTTCTCTCAAAGGCCAAAAAATAAAACATCTCTTGCAAAGAATTATAATTTTCATGAAATGGTTTCAAACTCGGAAGTGAAGAAGCCTCCGTTTGTATTATAAACTTTTAAGATATAACAGAATCTTCCATGAACCCTCATTTTACCTACTAAACTACAAGCCCTCACTCCTTCCACATTTGTGTCACCAACTCTCTAAGTATGAATTCTTTGGGGGCACGGGGCTATTGGTGTGCATATGCATACATGTCAGTATGAGCAACAGAATAAAAGACAATAAGAAATAACGGAACAAAAACCGCAGCAATATTTCCAAATTATTACCAAAACAATGATTTAAAATAAATAACTACTGACTACTGCACCAATGAAGGCATAAGAGAATGTACCCAATAACTAGAGTTGTCCCAGCAGTGGCAGCACAAGTCACAGTGCTATAACTTCCTGAACCTACAATCTTCTTAATTTCTTCTCGTTCAAATTGGTAGGTGCTTTTCATCTGCCACAAGGACATCGAATAGTCTTACTATTAGACAAAAAATGTAGCGTACGAGTAGGATATACTCCACATCATATATAGCACAAGTAGTATCATAGAGTTGTTCAGCCGACAAATTTCTATTGCTAACAAACAGGAAACCCTTTTTTCTTTTAGTTTTGATACCTTTTGTTCTTGGAGTTTACTGATTGAGACAAAACACAATTCACACCTTTTCAGGAGCTTCATTAGATTTTAGCAAAGAGAAGGGGGGGACGGGGGTTATCAATTCGTGTACATTAAGATTTATTATAGTATATTTGTCCAAAAGACTATTTAAGTAATTGTTCATTAGAAGACAGAGTAAAATCTAAAACAGCCTCAATAATACAAGGAAAAGGAAGGACAATATCAACAAAACAATATCTCCAGTGAAGCTTGTAAAGATCCATGTCAACTCACCTAAATTAAAGAGCAAAATGATGTCTTTCTCTTTACGAAACATAAAAAAAGATAAAACCTATAAAGTGCTCAAACAATTATTCTCGGTATAATTTGCCGTTTGCCATACTTTTTGAAAGACAGAGTCAAAATGATGCACACAGCATAACAGAGCCTTTTAACTACAATGAATATTTCATTTGAAGTTCGATATATGGACATATTGACAATAGAACACATCATCATCTTTCATAAATTTTCTAGGTGCATGATGTTTTCTTTGAAGTCAACTACAAATAAAATTACATACCGCTTGTTCAATTGAATCAAGTCTTCTATCAACTCTTGTATCATGAACATGACGAAAAGTGTATCCTGCACCATCACAACAGAATTCCAGGTAAAAACACTTCGTATGCCTCAAAGAACGAAAAAGAATTTTTAATTTTTTTGTGATGATTGAAATAATATATGAAATATTAATAGGTTAAATAATTTCTAAGAAAAACTAGCTACAAATTACACCAGCAACTTAGCAAGATCACAATAAGACCCAAAAAGTCCTTGTGGCATTTACAGATTTACGTCATTTACCCATAGAACGCCAATAATGTAGCTTGTATATGAAAGAAAAACGACCCCTCCCCCCACCCCCCCCCCCCCCAACCCCCACCCTGCTCCTGTCATCTTATACAAACATGGAAATTTCATTTCAGCCGAAGGCAACAAATTACAGCCAAAATAGCACATAATCTTAATGTCTCTTCTCCTTATTTCGCCTCAGGGCCACATAAATTCTTTGTAAGTTCTCCATAACCTCTATTGACACAACCAGCACTTCACAATAAGCTCTCACCCCAAACACCATAGAGATGCTTCCGAAATAATTATTCCATTTCATAGCACAACAGCACAAGAATAGATGTAAAACATCCTCACAACTAACCATCTACACGGGTAAAGGACAACATATTCTAAGAGTGTGACAGAGAGTAATCAAAGAAGAGAACTCCCTAATGCATACACAAGAAGGCCAAGTTACCATTCTCGACTAAGAGGCTGAACCAGTACCTTCGTGATGTAAAGTATCTGACAAAACAAACTGACAAGCAAGATATTATATCCAAAAAAAAGTTCCATAGAGCTTAAGGATCTTCTATCCTTCACATATGAAAGACTACTATGGCAGGGCGCTATTTCAGCGAATCAGCTTACATGACCTCTAGGTCAACACTTAGAGGACTTCGCCTATATCTTGCAGCAGAATCATTGATGTGTAAAACCATAGGATAGCAACATCAAGACTGTTTACAACAAGACTAAACCAGCTCTTAAGGAATTTAAACTTTTACTCCAATTACCACAAGAATAAGATAACCCTAAGGGCTGAGATATTTATGTATCTCACATTCTAGCCTAAGATTCAAATAAGTGATTACCCAATAGAGAATCCAAGCTTAATAGATAATGATATCAGAAGGATAGCAACCTATTTAAAGCTATTATCTAGAAACAATTCAAATAAAAATATAGACTCGAAAGCTGAAAATAGGAAACTCAATCATCTAAGGTAAACATTCCTTCTTGTTCTGCATATTTGAATTCATGATATGTTTCTGCATAGCTAATTTGGAATATAATAGTCAGTGGAAACAGGTTAAATAAAAAGACATAAGCAATGAAGCACAAACAAGACGACGAATACTCAAAACCCACTCGAAGCTACATGCTCGAATCGTTATAAGAGTACTGTCAAGATGATATGTACTTCTCATTTATCAACATTGTAGAATTCAAGTGTTTGAATTGTTCTAGAGAATTCTTAACCTTTTCCCAGTTCCAAATGATGCCACAAACAAATTTGTGTGATTAACTAAACACTATAGCAATTTACAGTCATTTATGCAATCATCCTCCCTAATTTTTTTTTCCTCAGAAATCCTCAAAACTTATTACAGACATAAAAATATCAAATAAATTAAAATTAAAATTAAAATTAAAAATTAAAGAAAATTTGCAATTGCAAAAGTTACTCACCAAGCCAAGCAGTACCAACTGATGCTATAGAAGTACCAACTGTAAACACCACCTTGTGCCTCTCAAATGTATCCTAAAAACCCATCAAAAAAAATATAAATAAATATAAATAAAATTAACAAAATCGAAATACCCAATTGAAAATTAATGATTAATTAATGGGGAATGAAAAAAAAAAACCTTAGTAGAAAAATAGGTGTCTTGAACAGCAGACACAGTATTTGAAGCTCGTTTCTTTAACTCCGGCATACCAACCGACCTCCAAATTGAGGATTTTAAAGTTCGAAGTCTCTGCAATTTCTGCATTTACCTTTTTAAGATCAACACCAGAAATTTGAAGAGAGAAAAGAGAAGGGAATCGAAGGATGGAAGACTACTCCTCCAAAAACAACGAAGCTCCTGAATAACATGGGTAACACCCGTTTTGTTATGAATGGACGAAACTATCCTCACATATTCTTCTGTTTTTCACCACTCTAACTCACTCTAACAAGTAACGAGCAATTATTGTTCGGAATATATAACTATGTTTAATCTTATGTATAAAGCACAAACTCGAGCATATTATGATGTGAATAGTGTAAAATTAAATATAGAGAGTGTGGTATGAGTATATGAGGGAGTCGAGTTTTAGGAATAGTGTGTGGACAACTGGACATAGTTGTTGAATTTGTTTGAACATATTTATTTGATATAAATTATTCAACATATATAAGACAAAATCGGTGTACTAATGCTTAATAATTCTTACTCTACATTATTTCTAATTTTAGCTTCTAATTTAATTCCAAATTTTTGATGGTAAGTAACATTTCACATGAAGTAACTTCCTATTTATTGTCAAAATTTCCAATATTCTTAGTCTTGCTATGTTTTAATGAACCTTCCTATTTATGTACATTTTAAGAATTTGGTTAAGTTATTTAGACATAAGGATTTATGCATTTCATGTGAATTGTGAATTGTGAATGACTAAAAATAGGTAATTAATGTCCCATGGTATGTGGGAACTCAAAAATCTTAGAAAGTTGTAATTCCATGTCTACTAAACAAGGTATCAAAACATTTCCTAATTCCTAGGATATATATATATATATATATATATATATATATATATATATATATATATATATATATATATATTTAAAAATAAAAAAAATTAAAAAATTAAAAATAAAAAAGAAGAAGAGATAGTAATCAAAAAAATTCTTAGAAAGTTGTAATTCCAGGTCTTGGCATTTGTGGCAAATAAGTCCCAAGATTTAAGTCTCATGTGCAAATTAACTCCCTTACTATTAATTATTGCAAATTAAACTTATATCTTTTGTAATATGTCCAATCAACACCTATAGACGTTTTTCCGGCCACATCTAACCTGTAATTTTTAATTCAACCGGATTACAATTATATGTTTTCAACTTTATCGGAATACAACTATATATTTACCACTATACAATACAACTCTTATACATTTGAACTACGAAGAATTTATATACTTAGCACATACATGTAAACTTCATTATAAAAAGAACATCATTGAATACAAATCAATTTATATTGACATAAAATAAAAATTTGCAAGAGTAGCCACGCAGCAGTCGCAGTATCATTATAGTCTAAGATCTCCATCCTCTAAATTTGTGTAAGATGAATACCTCATAATTACAGTAACACAATTGGGTTTCTTCCCCTCTTCTTTAATCTCTCTGTCTACTACTTGATTTATTCTTCTATTAAACATTAATTTGAGCTTGTTTTAAATGGTGTGAGATTGAGAAGACCATAAGGTTGATGGAATATTTTATTTTAAAGAAGTAGATGGATTATTTCTAGTAGCATACAGCAATATTAGATAGTTCCTGAGCCATGCTCAGTTTTTAAAATTAATGGTAATTGAAATTTAAATATAGTATCTAAAAAATGTAATTCAAAAATCCATTTTAACAATAAATAATTAAATGATAAAGTTCTTAGGCAAATTAATACTTCTACAAAATCTTTAAAAAATAAAAAAATAAAAAAATGTAGAGTTAGGTCCTATTCTTTTGAGCTTCTGGACAGGGCAGAGCAGAGCAAAGCAAATTTATTGCTAATTAAAATGATGGTTGTTTCCCCTCAAAAATAAGTCTACTTTGATATGTAGAGACATAATAATCTATTTGTGTATTATTTATTTATTGCTAATTAAAATGATGGTTGTTTTCCGGTGGAATTTGTTCATTTAGATTAAATAACTATTACCAGTAATTAAATTGCACAATTTTCAAAGTAGTGGGTATAATTTGCTGCAAATAATAGTAAGGGGACTAATTTGCACATAGTACTTAAGTCTTGGGGCTCATTTGCCGCATATTCCGTGTTGAAAATAGATCTTCTCTTTGGGGAAGAGAATTGGCTCGTCTACTTTTGCTTCCAAGAGGTAATTATAGTAGTCTCATAGGCTTGTTAATGTTTTTAGGCCTTAATAGTGTAATTGAACTTTTAGTTACATCGGACCAAAACCGATAGTACATCTTGACCCCCAAACAGGAATTAGACGAAAGAGATAATACATGAGCTAAGAAGTAAGAATGGGAAGAATTGAACAAGAGGGGGGAGAACAAAGTGCAATTTTTGTTTTTCCTAGTTTCAGCAACTCATGGAGATAACACAAGCACCAGTTTGAAATAGTTTTTAAAGGCAAAACTTTCTACCCACATCAATGTATCAGAAAATTTCCTAATAACTTGAACCGTTACAAAGCAAAAAAATCCCTAACCCATCTGTACACAGCCAAAGTTTAACCTGCAAGATTTACACGACGCCACCAGCATGTTAGACCCTCCTCAATCAGATCAGAATGTCACAGAATCCCTATGCATGGGCATATATACACAAATGGATATACACGTCTGCCTCATATACTAAGGAAGACCATGACCAGTTAGCAGAAAAACATGGTATCCTTGACGTTATCATGTAATCTGGGCAGCTCTGGGACAGGGATACTTCCTGCGGATGTGAAGCCATTGTTCTCAGTGCTGTTCTCAGGAAGCTCATCACATCTGACAATCTGTCCTACTTGTCGGGCGGCATGATGGGCGTAAGAGATAGGTGCCACTACAAAAAATAAAAAATAAATTAAAAAAGGATGAAATAAAAAGCTAGCATAGTTGGGAAATAGGCCATGATTTCAGGTCTGCAGAAGATAAAGCTGAACACACACAAACAACATTGACTCACCTACTGAGGTAGCATGAGAGCTCCTTTGATACCTGAATGAGGACAAAATTTCAGTATATATGAAGCCAAACTGATGTATAAAGTTTAAAATTATTAGGAAAATGAATCAGTATTAGTAACTCACACATAGGATAAAGAGTGAATGAAATTTTGAAGCTCATCTGGCGAGAAGCCGATCTCATCAAGTAATACATGATAGTGAACAGGCCGCAATGTACCCTTCATGGAAATCAAGGAGGAACCAACATTCAATTTTATACCATATAAAGGAGAAGAAAACAAAGTGGTCAGAAACCTACTAAGTACCAAAACACACACTTGACCAGTTAACAAAGTGGCACACAGAATTTGTTAACTGTGTGTGCACACATTCACTGTGAACGTGTTAACTTGGAATCCCTAACAAACGTCAAATCTAAACGAAAAAATTCCCTTTAAAAATGAATTTACACTTTAAATTTCCCAAAGTAATCATTATGAATCCTCTTATAGTTATCTATATAATTGTTTACATTTTAAAGTAGAGCTGCTTCTTGAAAAAATGGGGAAGTAACATACAAGAATTTGTACGTTATGCACAAATTACTAAATTATTTATTTTTGTCATTGTTGATGGCAATAATGAAACTGGAGTTTTTATTTATTTATTCAAAAAGAAAAACCTTGCCTAAGCCTGATGTATCCACAAAACAAGGAAACACAAGGAGGAAAAAAAAACTGCTGTATGTTAGGTTGATGGGAATGGCACCCCATGGAATAACATGACAGGAAAAGGAAAAGCTAAGAGCTTACAATCATCCCCCCATGAGCACACATGTAGAAATCATACTTCCTTGGATGCACAACTTCAGTGTCCACAACTGTCCCTGTGGAGGGAGAGCAGTAATAGAAAAATGTGATGTTATTAGCACAGTATAACAAATCCATCACAGTTGCATAAGGCATATTTAAAGAACAAAATGTCAAAACACATCAGACCAGGTGTAACATTGCCAGCAGCCCCCACTTCGAATAGTCGGGTACGGTGTCTCTTTTGTGCAACAATTACTGTGAATTTTGGAATTTCTGCCTCTCCAAGACCCAGGTAAGCCTGAAGTGAAAAAAAAAACCACCAATTACTGAGGTATCGGTAATTAAAAGCTATCAACAATGGAGTCAACAATCACTTTCGTCCTTGAGAGAACGACATGCTCTTATCTTGTCTAATGGAGCCAACAATCTCAAAATGCCACAAATAAGAATTACAAGTGAAGAGTTTTTTTGTTAATGATCTAAAAACTTTTGAGCAACAAGGTAAGGGCCATTAGGTTGGAATGCAAATTAGATTTTAGATCGAGGAAAAGAAACAAGCATAGGGGTTTGCTAGTGTTTTTCCAGTTGGCACAGAGGTGACTCAAAGGGCTAGATTTCAGCTGATTTCAATGGCAGATTGCCAGACTGTCAGCAGTGGGAAGGAACCTAGAGGATGAAGAAACAGCTACCAAAGGAGAAAGAAGGTAACCAGCTAGATTTTCTTTTCCAATTTTGACATTATTGATTTCCTTTAACTATGCAAATGATAGCAATCTGGGATTTGTGATGTGATGGCATTTTAGTGGTGAACTTTTACAGTTTTACTATTTAATGAAAGTTGATTTTTTTTTACTTTTTTTTGTTTTTTTTGTTTTTTATTTTAGTATCTCTCTCTTGCACTATAGACATCACAGTTTCATCTAAATGTTTAAATTTAGAGCATCACTAGATCAAACATAAACAAAATAATATTATAATTTAGAAATGCAGCTTCAGCAACACTCTTGATCCTCATGAATAAGGTTCATTGCCAACACAGGCCCAAATTTATAGAGTGCTTTTTTAACCTTTAACCATTTAACTTTGCGTTTTTCTTCATATGTGAAACAGTTATTCTGATCATACAGCTACCTAGTACAAAGTAATATTTTTACATGAGCTGGAAGCAACAAGTTCAATGGCCAGCGGGAATTTGTAATGTCTCAGACCAATTGAGAGGGAGTGATAAGATTCAGTAAATTTGAATCAATCTATTCTGTGGGGTCAAAATTAAATGCTGTGATTCTGACAGCAGTTCAAGGATCCAGATACCCTTCAGAAACAAATCTGTTAAGAGTAAATCAATTAAGTTTCAAATTAAGTCTAAATTGCCATCAGCAGCAGTTACAGCTACAAAGGTAAGAATTAATGTGATAGCATCTAGAAAGTTGGAACATTCGGAAGATTAAAATGTAGGCTTGCCACATGATGAACCTCGGTCAATAGCACTTCCTAAGTTCCTAGGTCAGTCCAGATGCGTTGATCCTAGTTGTGTGAGACTGTGAGTTTTCTAGTGCATGGGTGTTTGTACTCCAAGTATTTGGTATAAACAACATTACTTAATCATTACCCCAAATAATTGCCTCTGATATATCTGACAACTTGAAAGGCAGATAACAAATGAAATCATAAATATTCCAAATTTCTCCTCCCATATCAGACATTGATTTAGATAATATTCAGTAATCTCAAACACCCTACTCCCCAAAACAAATAGAAAACTTGTGCACCATTGCTCCATTCAATTGCCTTGAGCATCAAGATTGCAATCAACTTCAATAATTTGATGAAGTCTGAACTTGGAACAGCAAAAAAGTTTATTTCATATTGTCAGAGGTGACCCACTAATTAAGATTCTAATAAAGCTGGAAACCCTTGGTATTACTCTTGACTGTTTATATGCCTAATCACAATGGTTCAAGTGAAATGCACCTAACAAATGCACATAGAGCAGTATATTACAATCTTCTTTTCAGACTCTAGAAGATGATGTGGATAAAGATAAATCCACTCGACACTTTATCAGCTTCTAGCTTGTCATGCATATTCTTGAAATATGTCAGCAACATTCATTTCTAAGATATTATACTACATGTTATCCCATCTGTCTCTACGGTGATTAAGAGTAGTAATAAAATTATAATGTAAAAGAAAATTTAAGTGGATAGAGAAAAAAAAAATAGCATAAATGAAATTCAGGGTCAGAGAGTACAATCATTTCTTAAAATTGCCTCAAATTAAAAGACGTGCAACCTATTTTATAAATACAAAACAACACATTTATTGCAAAGTTAAGGAACCTGTTTAATCTGCTCCAGCTCAATGTCAAGGACTTGACTGAATTGTGAATCACTTACTCCATCCCTACAAAGTTAATAAACAATCATGCAATCATTAAAAACAGTAACAGTTAACGGTCTTCAATGGAATTAATAGCACATTCTGATATATTGCCAAATACAAAAAGCCTGTGGGTGACAAACTTTGCAGAAAGGTGCACGAGGCAGATAAGCACCTTACTAAAATTAACAAAGGAATTTTTTGTTTTTTTCCAAACAATTGAAATTTTACAAGACCAAAGCAGATATATGAGGTGTATCATGTTGTTTTTGTTAATTTGATCAGAAGTAAGAGAGTAGATAAGTACTTTGGATGTCCCAAGAAAACATATTCAAGACCAGATCCTTTCTCAAGGGTAAATAAAGGAGCAACAGGAGAATTAAGGAATTATTACATCAACATTACCACTACCTGAAAACTATGATCTGTTTAGGTTTTCGACCCTCACTTGTAACAAAGAAGTCCTTTAAAAGCTCCCTGAAACACAATGGGTAAGATCTTCAGCAATGCAACATAAACATCATCAGAAACTGATATTATTGAACTATTCTTCTAATAATGTCCCAAAGAACCAAAATTCCTCACAAAACACTGCTAGATAGAAATGACACTGAATTGTGACAATGTTACCTCATGATACCAGTATCCTCTCCGCCATCTTGTTGTTTGAACAGTGTATCTATTATCTCAGTTCTTGGAGATTGAGCTCTTACAGCTGCTCTATATCTTGATATAAGGGGCCAAGATACAGAACCAACAACCTGTCATTTGTCAGAAAGTGTGCATAAAGGATCAAAATCTCTAGCATGATTAACGTCTACCAGAAACTTTTAAATGTTTGACATGATAGAGCATGATACAAAACAAATTTGATATACAGCAACAGATATGGCCACAGAGAAAGGATAGCACTGGAATGCTCATATAATTTATTCTTAGCCAACAGTTACATACCGCAGCAATTGAAGGATCTGAACTGCCTGGCGAGCCATGGGAGACATCCATACCAACGATCATAGTTGGAATATCCTTCACATGGGGAACATAACAGGGCTCTTCTATAGCCAATAAAGAATTCATACCTCCCAGCTAGAAAATGACATGGAAGGAAAATGAGACTTATACATATGCAAACGCATGTTGGCCCATTATTTCATGACAAACTCACCTTAGCATTGATTTTTATAAGTACATTTGTGAGATAGCGTTCAGTTATTTTCACAGGGCAAACACATTGTGTTACAAGCCCAAAGTTACACAAATTCATACCTCCCAGCTAGAAAATGACATGGAAGGAAAATGAGACTTATACATATGCAAACACATGTTGGCCCATTATTTCATGACAAACTCACCTTAGCATTGATTTTTATAAGTACATTTGTGAGATACCGTTCAGTTATTTTCACAGGGCAAACACATTGTGTTACAAGCCCAAAGTTACTCAAACTTCTCAGTTTCCAGGGTCCTACATTAAACAGAAAGTGTCAAAGGATTTACAAGCCAGATCATGCATGAAGTAAAATGGTATAAAAGAAATATTCAGAAGAATCTAACGAAAAGCAACACCATACCATATAAATTAGAAACTTTACGATCTGGCAATACACACAGAATGAATTCTGGTTGATCTGGGAGCTTATCCTGTAATTTCTCAAACATTGCATCAACTCTTGCCAAAGGGCTGGCTTTCTTCATCTGCTGATTCTCTTCAACCAATGCATATGGTCTTTCAATATCCTGATATGTTTGTAAAATCAGGGCAGAGAGAGAAAACTACCAGATATACAAAACCAGAAGCTTAATAACATAATGATATTAACCTACCATGCCCTTTCTCCGTCCACAATTGATGAGTTCTCGAGAAAGAAAGCTTGTATCACAATTAGAAGAAAAGTTTACAATAGCCCAGCACTTAATATTAACAGGATCCAGAAATTGCTGCAAAATGGCCAACAACCACATTAGCTATTGACCTTCTACATGAAAAAAAAATAAATCTAAAATAGCATTAAGAAAAACAACAAGAATAAGCATCATCAATAAAGGCCCTACTTTATTCTTAAAGTTCCATCGGCCATCTTCAGGCATGCAATCTTGACCTCTGCCGACCTTTAGCTGCACAGTATGCAGAAAAATAATGATAAAACTGCCTCCAGTGATATTTAGAGAGTCCAAAGTCTACAAGCCTGTAGTAAGGAATCATGAACCAAATACCTTAGGTGGTTCAAGGACACGGCCAGCAATTTGCATAAACTGCTTCTCAATCGAAATACCACAAGCAACCAGCAATGGGTCATTTTCATACTGGTTGTTCTTCACAGCCTGCTAATCTATGTGACAATCAGATACAAACTAGAAAAATATGGATGCTACCTTGGTCAAGCTAGATGAAACTTACATCTATCAGAGATTTCATTCGGTCATGGGGCTTTAGTTTGGTTTTTTCCAATAAAGTAATACGCTGAGTTGGAGACAGCAATTTTCGATAGCGTTGAAGAGAGATCAGTGAACAGACCTGGAATATTTAAAAGAAAACACAATAAAATTAATAAGCTGATCAATTAAATTGTTTCAATTTGAACATAGAATTTACATAGGCAAAGGGGAAAAAAAAGAGAGAGAGAGAGAGAGAAGAAAGAAACAAGTGACTGTTTGAGAAAAAAAAAAACACTTTAACGCACCTCAATTGGTAGATAGATTGGTTTATCTGGCTTGCCAACATCAAGGCAAGGCGTGTATTTTGAAAAAGTTAGCACCACACCACAATGATTCCGGAAATATTCGAACACAGTCATCTCCTGGAATTGATCTTCATTGGAACCACTATCCTTTTTTGCTTTATGTTGAAAACTTACCAAAAGATAAAGGAAATTTAGAGGTCAAAATTCAGGAAATATACATTGGAGTATGACAACCATCAAATATGGGTGTACCTTAGCTTGTAGCATGGCTTATCACTCAACCCTATAATTTTGTATATCTTGTTGGTATGACTTGTCTTGATTCTCAAGTTTTTCAACATTCTTTTGGCCTGCAAAGATCCATACCATCAAAATACAAAAACCACAAAATCAAAAACAACAAAATGAATCAGAGAATGAAAAGCAATGTTACCTTTTCCCAGTCAATGTAGCGAGGCTCTAGCACATTTTGGTTAGTTAATAGAAAATCAAGAATAGGTCCAGGTTTCAGAATTAATGTCATAGCAACATCTGCATACAAATTATTTTTCTGCCTGTTACAAACACACAAGCACAATAACTGAAACATAAGAAATAAAGGAGCAACATACAGAATTTTAGTACCTAAATTCAGTGACAATCCTGCACTTGTCATGTGAAAACTAGAATCAAGCCCACGCAAACCAACTAAACCTCCATCAATCTCAAAGAAGTTCCTGGAGTCATCATGGAAAAACGACTGTCTAACCAAAAGGCAACCCCTGAAAATAATAGCCAAAAAAAAATAAAACTGTAGCTAACTGAACAATGACCAAAAAAAAAAAAAAAAAAAAAAAAAACACACACACACAGAGTAAATGAGAGAGAGAGACAGTACTTATTGATAGCCCGTTGCCTCAGTATGGTATTGATCACCCTTAATGCATCCTCAGTTTCACATAGGTTATGCTCTTCATTATTTACAGCAACTGGTTGCACACAAATTTCACGACAATAGTTGAGCTCCACTTTAAAAAGCTTTGGTGCCAAAGAATGTTTAGATTTCTTTGTAGGTTCAATGGGGTTATCAGCACTACAAATAAGCATACATTCGTGTTAGTGACATTTTCTTCAAGCCGTATTTCAGAGTGAATGAAAAGAAACAAGTAATTACCTCAGTCCAATCGACTCTTCATAAGTCAAGGTAAAGTCAGAGGTTTTCTGAGGTAGAGGACCAACAGTATACAAATTCTCCTTTCCATCAAATGCAAATTTTTTGGCATCTAGTTTAGATGAGTGTATCTGGAAAAGCTTATCGATAATTTTTACACAAATCGCCTTGCTTTCAATTGGTTTACAATCTTCAGAAGTTATCTTAACCTGCAAAGGCAGCACGAGACTGTAAATTTTCCAATGCACATTTAAAGTCCATGATGGCACAATAGAGTCCAAGCAACATGTTTACCGAATACTGATAAAATGCCACATCTGGAGATTCAATAGAAACTTTCAAATGATTCACGAGCAGGGATATGTGACGGCCAGCACTCCCAAAACCTGGCCTGCGCATAATCTGGTGCTTCAGAGAGTCCGTCTCTGTCTTCGTCTCTATCTCTATCTCTGTCTCTGTCTCGGTCTCGGTCTCTATCTCTGCCTCTATCTCTGCCTCTATCTCTGTCTCCATCTCCATCCCATCAAAGCTTACAAAGGGTGGAAGATGTGAAGGAGGTGAAAGTTGCAAATGATCTGACTCTAAATTCTGTCCCTCAATCATGCTAGTAAATCAACGCATATTTCAGTACCAAACACCAACTATAAAAAGGATTAAGAATATAGACCAATGAAATCAAGTATACTGAGCTCATTAAAAAAAATGGCATTATCAGATTCAGAGGCTGCTAAGATTTTGAAAACTTTTTTTTCCTCAAATCTGTAAAATGCATCTACAACTAAAGATGGACAAAGTCTTATTATGAACAGCAAGTAAACATCCTCACATATTACGCCGATCAAACTGTCTTGACATTCCCATCAAACTAGAGTCTTGTTATTGGACAGCAGTAAGAAAAGATTTCAAATTGAACCATGTGCTCAACATTCCAACAAGACTAAAGTCTAAAAAATAAAAACTTTCCAACACCATAGGTTAATACAATGGAAACACTAAGGTTAACTTGAGGTAAAGCATAAATCATTCCTGTCACTGAAGCTATTAAGATAAATAAATTATGGCTTCCAGGTTTATGAGTTCACCGGGCTATAACAATGATATCCCTCTTCTCTATTCCTAAAGTCTAGTATCGTGCATTTAGCACCTTGTTCGTACTTCCAACACTGCGAAACCCTTTCAATTTCCATTTGCATTGTGCTCTATACAAGAAATTCATATATACTTCATATACATTTGATGTTTCCAGTCTTTCAACCCTTAGACTTAAATTCATCAAAAATGAACCCACTAAAACGAATACGAAATAAATCAAATAATGAATTTAACCAACTGTCACACTTAACATACAAAACGAAATTCAAAACCATAGACAAAATTGTACATTTGATGTTTCAACCCTTTGAACTAAATTCATACAGAAATGAACCCGTTACAACGAACACAAAATAAATCAAACAATGAATTTAAATAATTGTCACACTCAACATACCAAAAAAAAAAAAAAAAATGGGATTCAAAACCATAGACAAAATATTATTACTTGTACATTTATAGCAGGGATTCATGCATGTGAATTTAAAGCAAATGAGGGTTCATCTAAACCCCCAATTTTGAATTTTTTTTGGTTAAAAACCCTAGTTCAAAGATTGAGCACCATAGATAGAAAACAGCAAAGATTAGAAGCAAAAATTAAGACGAAAATTCACCTGAGAAGAGGCAAGAACAAGCAATTTCTGAGAAATTGTTGGAATGAATATGATCGAAAATTGAAATGGATGAAATGAAGAGTAATGTAGGACTGTACTAGTAGGTTTTAATGCATGTGTTGTATATTCCTACTGAGTACACTCCCAAATAATAGCATAAAGAAAAAATGTAGAGATGAAGAGAGCCTAAATTACTCTGCACACTTTCATTGGGGAGAGAGAGAGGGGGAAGAGAAAAAGAGAGAGAACATTGGAAAAACGTTTGAAACGCAGTATTGGTTTAATTTACTCCGTATTTTTGTTAATCTGATGTGAACTTATTTTTTTTTTATTCAATTAGGTTATGTAGTATTTAGGTATATATCAAATGGGTATTATTATTTCGTATAAATGTAATAGATTGACTTTTTCTCTATTCATATGTTTATTTTACTGTACATTTTACCAATATATAAAAATATATGTTGCTATAAAAAAAAAAATTGGATTAGTCTTTATGTACTACTATATTTTTATTATTATATAAACTTTTTATAATCTATTTCTTAATAATATATAATTACAAATATTAATGGTCAAAGTTGTGCATTGGCATATTTGACAGTCAAAGTGTTGCGATTATTATGCAATTGAATGAGTATATTTCAAATATTTAATTTACATAATCTATCTAATATATTATATCATATCATATCATATCACCAATAAATAAAGTTGATCTTGCAGTCAGGCCACGAGACAGTGACACTTGACATTCCAGTTTTTCGCCAAGTGTCAAGTCACGTAGACGACAAATATATATTACTAGATGAAGCCCGTGCGATGCATGGTTTGTTTGTATTTTTTTTCCTATGTTTATGATAAAATTTGTTACTTTATTTATTCGTTGTATATAATGTATCATATTATTATTTAATATTTTTATTTTATTTATTTTAAAATAAATATTGAATTTTCTCTCATTCGTTATATATATTTAGATGAAATTCCTAATATCAAAAAATAATATTTTAAATTTATTAATTTAAACTTTAAAATTTCATTCGCCAATTTTATTTTGTTAACGTAGAACTTAATCTTTAATACGAATAAATGATAAATGCTGAACATTTTTTTTGCTAGAAAAAGAGAAAGAATATATTTTTAATTTCAATGGAATTTTCTTATTTTTTGTATTTAATTTATAACTTTTTTTTTAGAGAGAAAACTGATATATTTTTTAATTAAACGTGATTTTTTTTTTATCAGTATATTTTTATAAAATATTTTATTATAATTACTTGTCAAATTTTCATTATTTTTTTATATAAACCAATTTTTTTAAAATATCAATTGAAGGTAAATTTCAATTTTTTTTTTAAGTTTAATAGTATTTTTTTATATATACGAAATAAAATAAGTTGTTCTTTTCTCTTAGATAAAATTTCCAATTTAAAAAGATAGTATTTTATTTTTATAATAAATTTAAATTTTTAATTTTAATCTTACGTGGTGCTTTAAAATAACAATTCTACGTGGCATAATCCTATACGTAACGTTCTAAAAATACTAATCTTACATAGCACTCTAATAATTTTTTAAAAAATCAAAATTCTAGGTGGCTCTCTAAAATCTTGGGAAAAAACTCCCTTTTTTTTTTTTTTTTTTTTGCAACAACTCCCCTTTATAAAATTTAACGTGATTTCATTTTTTTTATTAGTATATTTTTGTAAAATATTTTATTATAATCACTTGTCATATTTTCATTATTTTTTTTATCTAATCCAATTTTTTTTAAAATATTAATTGAACGTGAATTTCATTTTTTTAAGTTTAATAGTATTTGTTTATATATACGAAATAAAATAAATTGCATCTTTTCTCTTAGATAAAATTTTCAATTCAAAAAGATAGTATTTTATTCTTATAATAAATTTTAATTTTAATTTTTAATCTTACGTGGTGCTTTAAAATAACAATCGTACGTGGCATAATCCTATAAGTAACGCTCTAAAAATACTAATCCTACATGGTGCTCTAATAATTTTTTAAAAATAAAAATCCTAGTTGGCTATTTAAAATCTTTGGGAAAAAACTCCCCTTTATATATGATGATAAGTAAGCGAATTTTGGATAGAATTTTTCAAGATAAATATATAGTATAGAGTTTTATTATTGATATACTTCTAAAGTTCTAATTTTTCATATATACAAAATTAATCATAACTTTTAATCAATATCCTATAACTCGATTCTATTTCCATCATAAAATACGAATACGCAGTAATAAAAAATCAATAAAAATAAGTTTTAATCAATAAAAATAATTTTGTTTGGTAAAATTACTTTTAGTTCAGTAAATATAATTTAAGTTCATAAAAATAATTTCAAGTTAATAATAACATGAGTAGATATCTATTTACAAATAAAACTACAAAAAGTACAATATAAATAAGCGATATGATATCATATGCCTAATTTTTTTCATTTCAAAAGGGATTATATGACCGTATTTAACCTTCAAGCCAAAAAGTTTATCCTAAAATTTTATCAACAATCCGTGCATCGTCTAGGCACAAAGCTAGTATATATAATAAAGTAGGGATTTTTCAAGAGCATTCGCCGCGCTACATAAGCAAAGGTATATTTTCGACCAATTAAAAATTAGATTTTTATTTTATTTTGGAATTAAAAAATTCGTTTGCCACCTAAACAAAAGTGACGAATGAGATTTAAGAATTTTGCAACGTAAGTAAAAACAACGAATATTGATTTATTAGGATTTAATTTATTTAAAAAACTAAAAATTATCTTTTCAAATAATCATCTTTAGATATAGGATTTATATACCTATTATTATAAGATAAATTTTGATAGTGTTTATGATAAGAAATAAAAATTATTCCTTATTTATAATTAAATTAAAATTTGTGATATTTACCATTATAAATTGACGCATCATATGACACCAACAAAATTTCGTATCAATACAAAACCAAACCAAGCAAATTTTGTGTCATTAAATTTGTGCCAGTTTTATTAGGTCATCAATGGTTGGGTAATTCTTAGCCTAATTTTTAAAACCCATGTTTAAATGTATATTTGTGATTATTGCTTAAATTGTGTTTATTTGGGATACTTAATGATTATATGTTTATGTTTTGTTTACTGAATTTTGTTTTTACATGCAGATCTAATTTAATCAAAGAATTATATTCGAGCAAAAATCTTTGGAATATCAAAGTACGAGTTTCTCGTTTGATGATCCTATTGGATGAGGAGGTATTATATCTTTATAAATCGTTTACATTTATTAAATCTTTTAATGAACCTTTTAGTTCTTATCAATTAATTTTATGATTAAAACAAATTTTTTGTGATTTAGGTAGCTTAATTAAGTCATAAAATTAACTTAATTATTTTTTTTAATTACAGGGTGATTACGTTCATGCCTCAATTAAAGTCAACTTTGTTCTACAATTTTGTTCAAAATTGATTGAAGGAAAAGTTTACTCCATTAGATACTTTTCAGTCGTTACAAATAAGAAGCAATACCGCACGCATTGTCAGCAACAACAAAATATTGATTCAATTTTCCAAAATACTATTGTTTGGGCGATTGGGGAAGATGAAAAATTTCCAATGCATAGATTTAATTTTGTATAATTACAATTTTTAGATTAATTTCACAATAATTATTCACTTTCTGGTAAATATTTTAGTTTATTTTATAAGACTACAAAGACTAATTTTATATAAATTTTATTTTTGCTAACATGTTCAATTTATCCACTTTTATTAGATGGAAGAGATATGGGTGTGAACAAAGTTGGTGATCCTATCTAAAACTTTTTTTAATACAAATTTTTTTTACATCGAATTATTACATCTAATAACTATTATTTTTAATGTTCTTATTAAAATATTTATTAGGGGAATAAATTACATAAATTTATAAAAAAATTATCCTTAACAAACAATAGCAAAGTAATCAAAAATATTATGAGTATGATCTAATTACAAAAATTATTTTTATGAGATTTTATGTGTAAAAAACCGTGGGATATTAGGATTTAAATTATTAAAAAAAATAAAAATTATCTATATGAAATTAATGGTTTTATCTAAATACCCGATTAATAAGATGTTTTTTTCATAAAAAAAATTTAAAACTTATAACGCAATAAAAAACTTTACTTTCTTCAAACATTTTATGTCTAAAAAATTTAAAAGACAAATAATTTGTTAGAGATCAAGAGATCACAAGAAATATACAAAATGATATACAGATTTGGGAGTTTAGTTTCAAGTTTAAAAGGCAACGAATAATAATTTAGGATTCAAATTATTTTAAAAATAAAAAATTACTATATTTTCATATTAAAGATCTTATCCTAATATGTAATCAATGAAATATCATATTTACAACTTTTTTTTTTTGAAAGATATCATATTATTGTCATATAACTAACAACAACGAATATAATACAAAACAACAATAAATTAAGTCGCAAAAAATTATACTTTTGGCAATATCATTTTAATTAAATTATTATTTGTTTTTTTTTTTGTCTGAAATTATTAAATTGTTAAATCAAATAATTATAAAAAAAAAAAAAAAAAAAAACTTAGAGTATATAGGAAAATATCTTTTCTTGAGATATATGTATGAGAAATTGTGCATTGCATGAGCTTTCATCTAGTATATATATATAAAGGAGAGTTTTTTCTCGAGCACTTTTAAAAAATTATTAAACTTTTAAAAAATTATTAGAGCGCCACATAGAATTAATATTTTTAAAAAACTGCAATCGGATTATGCCACGTAAGATTAGTTTTTTTTTTTTAAGTGCTACGTAGGATTATAATAAATAAAAATAAAAAACTAAAAAAAACACCACGTAGGATTAATATTTTTAAAACGCTACAATAGGATTATGCCACGTAAGATTTTTTTTTTTTTAAAGCGTTATGTAGGCATATAATAATAAATATAAATTATCAGAGCGACACATAAGATTATTATTTTTAAAAAATTATCATGAATAAAATTAAATGATTTATTTGGGTGATTAATGGAACCAACATTATGATAAATTATTACAAAATTACATAAAGGAGTGTTTTTTCAAGATATTTTAGAGCGTCACATAGGAAAATGTTATATTTTAGCCAATGAAAAAAAAAATTACAATTTAATTTAGATCTAAATTTTTTATTTAATTATAAAAATAAAATCAGCGCATTTTCTGTATGGCTGGCCATATCGTGGCCAACTGAGACACACCAAAATACTAACCGAGTAACCCCTGATCGATTAAGTAACCCTTGACCAACTGAGTAACCCCTGACCAAGTAATCCCGACCACACGGTGTGACCAGTCACATACGAAACTTTGTGAAATAAAATATTATCTTTTTATATTAGGATTTTTATCTAAATATGAAAACCAAAATTAATAATTCATTTTATAATAAAAAAT